AGGACGGGGACCAGTTCTACATCAAAACCTCCACCACAGTCCGCACCACGGAGATCAACTTCCAAGTAGGGGAGAGCTTCCAAGAGGAGACTGTGGATGGCCGAAAATGCAGGGTAAGGCGGAGTGGGTGAGTGTGTGTGTGAGCGTACAGAGCCTTGGCTGGTGGCGTGCTCCCAGCGAAACTCTACTCGGGTCCTGCTAGGACGGGGACCAGTTCTACATCAAAACCTCCACCACAGTCCGCACCACGGAGATCAACTTCCAAGTAGGGGAGAGCTTCCAAGAGGAGACTGTGGATGGCCGAAAATGCAGGGTAAGGCGGAGTGGGTGAGTGTGTGTGTGAGCGTACAGAGCCTTGGCTGGTGGCGTGCTCCCAGCGAAACTCTACTCGGGTCCTGCTCTGGTGATGGGAGTGTTGTAAGAGGCTGAATAGGATACAGCAGACCAGAGGTCTGATCCAGCAACGAAACAGCTTCCCCTATGTCCTAGGAAAAGCCCGTTGCTCTCCCAGGTTGGATTTCTCCGAGATCTCTGCAGATACATTTCCACTGCTTGTATCTTTGATGCATTGTGATGCTTAATTATGTGAGTGTAAACTTCCACAGCTGTCTATCCTGATTACACCACTTTCTTTGTTCAGTGTTCTCTCTGAGATGCCTCATCTGGTTGGGTTTTTTTTTACACATTCTGCTGAGAAACTCTGGACTTGATGTTTCCATTGCTCTTTGCCTTTTATAGTCATTTGCACGTGTGCAAAGTGGGTGTACATTACTACATTCTGATTTAGTTACATCTTACACCTACTTTGTACATTACTACTTTCTGATTTAGTTACATCTTACACCTACTTTGCATTGATATGAATACAAAAGGCATAAGGAAATAGAGAATTAGGACCTCTATGGTGGGAGGTGGGGGTTGTATGAAAAAGGTTCACAAAGGACCCGATTCTGATACCACAAGTAATTCCACACTGCTCATCAATGAAGGTGCTACTCAGTGTGAATGGTGGCATTGATATCAATGAAACAACTTTCAAAGTAAGGTGCAACGCAGTGCAAGTAAAGGATATCAGAACCATGCCCCAAACAAAGAATAATATTTAAAAAGGCAAAATAGAAGCAAAATATTTCTGATCATCCAGGACCAATTTCTGTGTTCATTTGCATTGACGAAAATCCAGAGTAATGTCATCAGGTTTAGTATAATTGTTATGGATTTAAACTGGTGTAACTGGGAGGCAGATCCTGGGAGATACTAAGCATCCTCAAATTGTTTTGAATCTCTAGGATTAACAAAATACATAGTTTAAAGGTTTATTCAAGAAATATCTCTTAGGCTTTGTTAATTTTTTTCTGTAAGGGAAAGTAAAACTGAATTTGATCATCCAGAATACGTAAGTATTTGACTCTATTTTAAATAGAAGTTTTTTGCTGTATCTGCAAAGACAATAATTATTGCTGTCTTCTTTGAAAACAGGCAAATTTGTAAAATTGAGTTTTGTGATGCAGTAATTTTTTTAAGTATGAAATTATGAGTAAATTATATTGCTGAGCTCACTATAAAATTGAGCTGTAACTATGATAAAGAGATGGACAGAAAAATGGCGTGTCATAATATTGTTTGCAATACCTGACAAAATAGCTGAATTTTTATAGATTCTGAAGCACTTTACAGGAAGAGGGATCTGACTTGATCTTGTTCACTGAAACAAGTAAGGAAGCACGATATTTGAAAAGAAAAGCATAACCTGTATAACACTGTCATGTTGGTTTTAAAAGGCTATAATTTTGAAGGAAACATTTTTTTAAATAAAGGGAATAGCAAATGTTTATATTAAAAGATTTTCCTTTGGAAATTCAAAGGAGTGTTGACTTTATTTTTGTTTTATCATCACAGACTAATGAATGCTCCCCTTGTAAAGTGATTACTTGTACATTCATTATTGGGCATCCTTCTGCACAGCTGTTCCAATGCATGGTGGAATAATAATTTAGCTATAGGGAGAAAAGCAAGGGAGAGCCTGGACTTGCCTGATTGTTAAAACAATATGAAATTCCATGATTTCTTGCCCTGAAATAGCTTTATAGTAATAATTCTAAGTGCTCTGAAAAAATATCTTAAGTGTATTTCAATTTCCAGGCCTCCTCCATCTTAATTTTAAAAAAACCTGAATGCATCCAAATTCTAGTATTATTACTGTTATTTAGCTGCTATGTATGCTGCTTGTTAGAAGCATCCATTGAACAAATAAGCAATCTGGAAAAGTGCCATATGGAATAAAGATTATGTGGCAAATATTGCATTATTTATTATTCCAAAATGTTACATTTGATTCTAGCTGCTTTTATGCCACGAGGTGGTAAATAACATGCCAGATCTTTATAAAGATGCTAAGTTATTACATATTAATCAAGTGAAGATTGTCACCAGTAAGATTTGTATGAGAATTAAAGGATTTATTTTGGACACTTGAAATAATCAAGTTACAATGAGAAATCAAATTTGCAATGATTCTTGTTTAAATGTATGGATCTCTAAAAGGGCCATTCACAACCTTCTTTCTGATTTTACCACTTTCTGTTTATATGCTTTTTTCCCTTGCTGTTATCTACCATGTGTTGCTCTTTTACAGCAGCAATTATTCTCTGAAGTGTTCATTGTTGTCTCTCTGCCTCATGCTGCCAGAGGCTATAATTAATGTTACTAATGGTTTTCTTGCCTGCAGAGTTTAGCCACTTGGGAGAATGAAAACAAGATCTATTGCAAACAAACTCTTATTGAGGGAGAGGGCCCTAAAACATATTGGACTCGGGAATTAGTTAACGATGAGCTGATTTTGGTAAGAACCTTTCACCCTTCCAGTGCATATATTGTACTAATAGGTTTGTTGCTGTGCAATTGGACTCTTAACTCTCCTAACTCTCTTCACTGCAATTCACACACAATGGCTTTTTTAAATGGTTACTCTCAAATAACTTACCAAATATATTATTTCTACTGTTTTAGCTGCCTCTAAACACTTAGTCATAAAATAACCATAATGGGCCAAATCCAGCTCTGTAAATGTAGAGTAATTCCAGAGGGTTGTAATTGTAGATTTTTATCAATCAGAACAGAAAACTGCTAGCTTTGATTTACCTGGAAAGGTATCCTTTTCCTCCTCTTTTTTTTGCTTTGCGTGTAAAAAGTTGTATCTTATCACATGGTATGTAACAAAGTGGTGGCTGACATATACTGTTAGTACTATATAACCTCCCTCTAATAAGTAGGAACATATCACCCCATCCTCTGACACTTCTGAATCCCTGTTCATTTCTGAACTTTATTCAGAATTGCCCTGTTTTCAAGATTCTATGGGCTCACTCCTCCTTATCTACCCATGTCCAGATCCAATCTATCTGCTTTTTCAGTCCTTGCATTCCCTCTGTCCACTCCTATATAACACTCCAGACTCAGGCAGAAGAAGGTCACCAGTTCTGCCTCCAGTATCTGGAACTGGATCCTTCTACCTGAGCCAACAGGGCTGCATCCACACAGGATACACCAAAACCCATGGGCCAGCAGCTAACTATCAGCTGGTTTGGATTTACAGAGCTCATGCTGTGGGGCCAAAAATGCTGTGTAGATTTTCAAGCTCAAGATGGAGTATGAGCCTGGGGACCCTCCTTTCTCCCAGCAGGGGATAGTAGATGTACTCTCAGTCACATTCAGTCTATTAGTTTCTCCTGTAGTTATTATCGTGGTATTGACATTTCTTCTCTGAATCTTGCCTCAATGCCCAGACCTTCCACAACTGTAGCTGTAATCTGTACCTGACTAAAGATATTGTCACTTTAACCTGGTTACAAGTAGCACCATTAAGTTTGTGCCTTTCCCCCACCACAGCAGTTTGTACATCCAAAGCCACATTAAGTTATCTCATTCTACTCCTTCTTTTCTGAAAGGAAGAATTTTCCAGTGGTTAGAACACTAGTCTCCACTGTGGGAGATCCAGGGTTAGTTCCTGCTGTGCTACAGACATCCTGTGCAGCCCTGGGCAAATCACTTAGCCTCTCTATGCTTCAGTTACCTATCTATAAAATGGGGCTGCTAAGAATATTATGAGGATAAATACATTAAAATCTGTAAAGTACAGGCAGTCCCCGACTTACGCGGATCCGACTTATGTCGGATCCGCACTTACGAATGGGGCTTTTCTCGCCCCGGAGCTCACGGGCGGCGGGTCACCACCCGTGTCTTCCGGGGCGAGAAAAGCTTCTCCCGGTCTCCCTGGTCTGCTGGGGGGGGGGTCCAGCAAAGCCGCTGGACGCCCCCAGCAGACCAGGGAGACAGGTGCAAAGCCGCCGCCTGTGCAGCTTTG